TGTGCTAGAGTTGACTTACAGCTCGCACTACAGCCGCTGTGTGTTTGAACAGTATGTCCACGTGCACTGAGGTAAGACTCAGGCCACTGTCTCTGTTTGTTTTCTGGGCCCTGGTGTGAGACTCTCGCACGGCCAGATGCCGCTTTCACAGCCACAGGGTTCTTTTTTTTTTCTTTCTCCCCAAAGCACCATAAAACCAGAGTGCCAGCGAGCCTCTCCTAAGGTTTCCACGGGTTAAGAATCAGGACAAGAGACTCTTTAGGGTAAACATCCAAATTCCTTCTCCGCTGGCAAACTCCTCTGTGTCTGTGCCGTTTTCAAAAACCCGACTGAACCAGTTCCATTTTTCTTTTTCTCGCTCTCCTTTGTGTGCCCCCGCTGCTTGTGTATGTTTTGGATTTGAGGCTCTTTTTTTCGTAATGCCACACGCTTGGCCTCACATCTTTGCTGAACACTACTATAAAGTTAGGGGTTGGGGGGTAGAAAGTGAACAATACCCAGGAGAGACTTGGTCGTCATGTGCTTTCTGATTGTTGGAGATGACCATGAGTTTTATTTAATGGAGAAGATAGAAAATATGGGTATCCAGATAAAAAGTGAGGTTGGTGAGGGGGGTATAACAGCTGAATTTGCCCTTCCTGGGGTCAGTCCTGAATAGGAACTCTTGCATACGTAAAAATTCAAAGGAGAGAGAAGAAAATATGAGGTAACATTTTTTTTCTTCATTTTTGTGAAAGAAGAAAAGGTGATTGGTGTGTTAGGGTTAGAGATAAGGGAGGTGTTGGGCAGAAGAGGTAGTAGAGGGAAGGAAGGGAGGGAAGAAGGGAGGGAGGAAGGGAGAGAGGAGACTAGGGCAGCTGCCGTCTCCTCATTAACATGCGCACCTGCTCCATGCAGCCTTTTTCACTGAGTTCGTGTGGCGCCTCACGACCTCCGCACCCACCACCACCGAGGCTTAACTGGACGGTCTTCTAGCGGCCTCTCCTTCACACACACACACACACATGCTCACTAACACAGTGTTTCCCGCTATGTTAGGTCAGATTCAGTGAGTTTCTGAAGTCCTCATTAAAACAGGAATCACATTAATCCTGTTGAAATGGAAAACCTTTTGCCTTCAAACAAGTCGTAAGAACTAGTTTCTCGAAGTGACACAGAACAGGTTTACTATATCTTATGATTGTATGTTCGTACAGCGCCTGCCAAGCAGGAGGTAGAGGGTTCGATTCCCTTTAGTCCCTCCCAGTGCTCGGTAGGTTTTTGGCAGGAAGGGCTGAAAAGCCATTATCATTGTGATGGCCTCTGACAAAAAGACAAGCCAAAAGTGTAAATATAAGTAAAATATAATGTGAGTATGTTGATGTACTAGCAAAGTACTAGAGACAAGCTACATCTTTCAGTGTTGCTGCCCAGAAAATATATGATTTTTTTTTCCACCGTATTTTTTGGCCCAGAGGACAAGTAGAGAGAAAAAAAGCTAAACTAAAACAACAATCAAAAAAGTCAGTTGTGTGGTTTCCAGAAAAACATAACCACAAATCATAATGTTTTAAGCAGGTATGCAATGAAAGTTTTGCCATATCCTGCTAAAATTACCTATAGGACGTCATAGGGAGAGTCTCATTTTTTCTAACTTTGTAGTTGTAGTATATCTCTTACTCAGTGTTTGTGGGAATGCATGGCTAAACCTTTTATTTTGGGCTGTCATCATTAATGCAACGAAGTTTAAAAGTTATAGGATTGGCATCAAAGTCGATACACATGGGTTCATTCTTAACTAAGGATTAAGTTTAGGAATCTGTATGAATGGATGCAGATGAAGAAGGAAAACAACCATCCTATCAAACAACATGGAGGGATGTTGATGAGCTGAGCAGGTCATTCATGTAAACACGAATAATATTTTGGTCTAATAAAGCTTAAGTGAAGCCCGGAAACAAAACAAGCATCTTTACGAAAACAAATCCCTGGCAGCCCAACTGTGGGTGGCGCTGAGTGGCACTTAAGATTTGGAACTCTCTCCCTCCTGTAGATGTTGGTGACATGCCACCACTCACTCATTACTCCTGTTTGTGCAGCGGGCAGCCTAGCATGTGATGTTTTCTTTTCTTTGCCACAGTCCTAAGGCTGCCTAATCCCCCGAGAGAGAGACCCTGTCTAAACACATGCCTTGTCTCTACAGAGAGGCCACAGCTTGGCCCCCAATGACACATACACACATGTAGAGGCCGGACCCCCTGGGAATGTTTTTTGGGGGGGGGGGCATAATTCTGCCAGCCCTTCAAGGCCAACCGACTTTCTGGCTTCAGTATTTGACACTGATGGCTGAGTTTTCTTTTGGGGAGGCCGTCTCTGAGATCTTGATATAGTTGTTGACTGAGGTTTTAAAAAGAACCACAAATATTTAGTACTTTAATCCAACAGGTCAGACCTAGAAAAAAAGTATTATAGCTCGGCATAACTTTTCTCTTGATATTTTTGGACCGGGGCTACAGTATGGCTGTCTCTTTTCCATCCTCTCCTTGTTTCCTTCTCCCATGCTACGGCACTGAATAATGAGCACTGATGTAGAGATGAAGAGCTTTTGAAGCTGCCACGCTGTTGGCGTGCAGCTCAGATGCTTTGTCATAGTTGGAGCCCAGTCCTGGATTTGAATGAGCGCTGACCACTGAGGGTTGAATGGAGCCGCTGTAAAGGTGCCACGACGACTGCTTTTTAATGTCTCCAAATTTGACGAGTGATGGGATTATGAAGAGGGAGAATTCTCGAAACCTCTCTGTTTTCTTGTCGTCAAAATACTTCTTTGCTGGCTAAAAATGTCGATAAAAGCACAGGATCTCTGAATGGTCTTAAAGTAGTTCCAGTAATCCAGTATTTTGAAAACAAAATTCCATCTTTAGTCTGCCCTTTTGGAAACTTATAAACACATATTTGTGTGTCTCTGTTTGTGTGTGTATCTATATATATGTGTGTATGTATATACATATATTTATATATGTATGTATGTATATATACATACATATATAAATATATGTATATATATATATACATATACACACACTGGATTCAAATAGTATATATTTGTGTCTGTATATATATACATATACACACACATTGGATTCAAATAGTATATATTTGTGTCTGTATATATATACATATACACACACTGGATTCAAATAGTATATATTTGTGTCTGTATATATATACATATATATTTATATGTGTATGTATATATGTGAATATATATGTGTGTGTGATATATATATACATATATATTTATATATGTATATACATATATAAATATATGTATATACATATATGTATATATGTATGTATATATGTGAATATATATATATATATGTCTGATATCTATATACACACACACACACATACTGTTTGAATCCAATGGAGAAAATTTACTATTTAAATTGATGAGCTTTTCCCATTTGGGTTAAATAGACACATGTGAGTGTGTCTCCGAGGAGAGAAAAAGGTGTTGGACAGAACAAAGTGTAGGTATGTGTGTTGTGTGTGCTTCCTCTGTGTGTGTCGGACCTCTTTGTAGAACTGTGTGTTTCCACAGGGGACAATTGTTGGCCTCAGGTTCTCCCATTGTTATTATAAATGTGTGAATTTGTCCTTGTGATGGTCTCTCTCTCTCTCTCTCTCTCTTGGTCTCTTTCTCTATTTTGACATTTATAACACACACAACAAACCTGTGGGAAACCTCAGAAGTTTGTCCTCCACCACTCCCCCGCCCCCCATGTTCAGGCCACTCTTTTTTTTGTTTGTTTTTTACAGCCTCCGACACATTGTTCACAGGAGGTCATGGCAGAAAGATGAATGTCCCGTTTAAAGCATAGTTTCTCATGGCCATGTTGCCGTGTTGTAATAGCAGCGCGGCAGGGCCCGGGCCGGGTCATCTTTCAGGGGAAACAGATAGTTAGTCGTATCAGTTGAGGCTTCAAACAGTTGATTTACAGGCATAGTAGTGGACAAAGTGAGGTTGCCCACGCAGCAGTGAAGTGTTGTCTTAACCCCTGTGAACTCGTCAGCTGCTGTTGAGGTGCAGAAGATTGGATCAGTGAAAATATTGGTGTGTGGGAATCCCCTCCGACTGTTAGCTGTCTTTGTGATGCTAATTTCAAATGGGAAAAATAAATAAAAGATAGTCATTTATTGGTAGCCCAATAAATCTTGGCTGTGTGTGCAGTCCAGATGTCCGGAAAATTTGAATCACTTGAATCTATTTGAAGTCGTCGTACCTATTGAAAACTAAAGGGAGGCTGTAGAAGAATATTTTTATATTTATTAAATATTTCCAAACAGATGATTAAATCCACTTATGTATAAATATATATTTTTTATTTAAAAGTCTACGGCAGTGATAACCAACTGGTGGCTCGCAGGCTGAATACGGCCTGCCAAATCATCCAATCCAACCTGCTACTGGAAAAATTGCATTAAATATAATAATGTTAGACAAGAATGTGATTTTTATTTGTTTTTGTGTCCGGTCCCTAATGTGTCCAAAACAATTCTAGCCCTCCGACAAATATAGTTGGTTACCCCTGGATGATGGTTTGAGCCAGGGGTCACAAACTAAATGGCCTGATATATATGATAGAAATAATTCAAATCCATTTAAAAATTGGCTCAATTTAATTATTATTGGAATCTAGTAATAGTCCAAATGTGGGTGGTCCACATGCCAAAAGTGGCCCCAGGGCCAGAGGTTTGGGCATTGTGGTGTTTAAATGCCTATCTAATGGTGCCTTAGTAGTAGTAGCGGTAATTACACCTACCTTACACACAGAGGAACCACACACTTAATGGCACCCCCTGTGGCAGCCTGTGTGGGTTGCAAAGACTCACACTGTAAATTTCCCCATTGGGTCAGGTCTGTGTTTTGATTTCTGTTCTTTATTCTTGGTCCTGGTTCTTACTCACATGGCTGCAGCGTTCCCACAACCTGAAGTCCTCTTTTTGTCTCTGCCCAGATGCCAAGGATTCATAGGAAACCGTTGCCAGTTTCCCGACCCGTGCATCTCCTCGCCATGCCTGAACGGCGGCATGTGTCAAGGGGTCGCCAGCGGGAACACGGTGGACTACAGCTGCACCTGCAAACCGGGATACATCGGCCATCGCTGTGAGACAGTGGTCCACAACGCCTGCTTCACCGTACCATGTCGCAACGGAGGCACCTGTGAGCCAGACGGCCTCCAGGCCTACAGGTGCCGCTGTCCGCCTGGATGGTCAGGTATGGGTACCGTATTAAAAATTAATTCTGCTTTAATTTATCTTATGGGTTAGTTATCATTTTGACTTGGCACCCTCAGGTAAACAGTGCAAACAAGCCGACCCCTGTGCTTCGAACCCGTGTGCCAACGGCGGCCAGTGCCGTGCCATCGACTCCCATTTCGTCTGCACCTGCACGCCATTCTTCTCGGGGAAGACCTGCACACAGGACGTCAACGAATGCGGCGTGAACCCGTCTCCCTGCCAGAACAGCGGCATGTGCGTCAACGAGGTTGGCGGGTACCGATGCCAGTGCCCTCAGGAGTACAGGGGCACTCACTGTGAGAGCCGCTACCTGCCCTGCAGCCCGTCACCCTGCCAAAACGGAGGCACCTGCATTCAGAAAGGAGAGACCAGCTATGAATGCTCTTGCGTACCAGGTGAGATTCCCTTAAAGACACGACCAGGGAGGTTCAGAACTTTTTAGTCGTGACATCCTGGTGTCCAGACCAGGATTCAAAACAGTTCAGCTTTTTGAAAATATTTTTAGTTTAGTTTAGTGTTAAAAAAGGGGAAGTTCTTAGTTGAAACAAACAAAATTAGCAAAGTCTTGTGATTCTTTTTAAGTTACCATGGTGCTGAGAGTGTCACTGTGTTGAATTAAATAGTAATCTGGAGTTAGAACTTGGGGAATGATGTCATTCTTGGCTGGGTATGTGCATGCGTATTTGCGTGTGTGAATACGGTACAGCAGGAAGGCCTCGGGCCTTATCATGAGGAAGTGGTGAAGCAGGACAACATCCTTTTCACATAGCGAGTGGGATGGCAGCGCTGCCTGGTCTCAGCTCACTACCTCTTCACACTGACGGAGTTCAGATTCTCCTGTCATTGTGTAATTTCTTTTGTTGACATTCCATTGGAACTGTTCCTTTGTTACTATTTGAAAATTCAAAGCCTTTTTAAATATCTCTAGAGCAGGGGAGCCCCGTGAGTAGATCACGGTCTACAAGTAAATTGAAAAAAGAGTGCTGGTAGATCATGAGTAATTATATATATATA